TCAAAAACTCTCTCTTTCTTTAAATAGAAAATGTTGAAAAGGTCAAAGGAGGAGATAGGGGCTGACAGGAATCCTCTGACGCACTAGGAGTAAATGTTTAATCAGGATAAACTATATTTGAGAAGCATGCCTTTGAATTCAATATGTTAAATAAAATGAATATTTAAAAGACTGATCTCTTTTTGTACAAATACCTTGATAAGACTACGTTTCTAGCCTCTGCAAACATTAAATCCTAAAGCGTGACTGCATTTCTAACTCTGAATCCCAAACCATTTCTTCCTTGCTCACCAGTTCAGATCTGGATCCAAAATGAAACTTGAGTTTTCTACTGCTTCTTTCAATCTGTATTATTCAAGGGAAATCAAAAGCTTACAAGGCTGTTGATACACTATAGTCCAATATAGTGTATTTCTTCTTACATAGTAAAATGCTTCTTCTGTATTAAGCTATAGCTTATCATTGTGAAAAGATTAGAGAATGGATACCCAATACTAATTTTTTATACTGCAAATGTTAATTTTGATAGATCCTTATCCTTGCATACAGGACCACTTACAAAGAGATGGCTCCTTTAGATAGGATATAAATGATCGATTCTTTCACCATGTAGACAGCTTTATTATATATCCAGTAAACAGTTGTAAAGGGTATGCGTAATTATTAAGAGAAAATGATAAAGGGAAATAAAAAATAAAGTCACCCCCTCCCTTCAGATATTCATACTGAAAACATGGAGCCCTCCAGTAGTGTCATATTTTGTGAGTGACAGTAGGCCCCATCTAGGTAACTCCCAGTTTACATGTTGAGATGGCTTACTTCCAGAGTGACCCAATAGGGCTGATATCTTATTTTTTAAATGACAAAAATATTTTATGTTGGCATGAGCAGGCTAGCGAACTGACCTTATAATGCTTGTTCACAGAAAAGAGCTATTTTTACATTAATTTTAAGCAAAAAGAAAAAAGAAAGAATACTTTTGAAGATTCAGCAAGTAGAAAAAGCCAGAGCTTTATTCCATTTCCTCCATCTTGTTAAGTCAATGGTCAAGCAGATCAGGATGATAATTACCATTCTCTAGATCGGGGTGGGAAACCATGGCCCTCTTATGCCTTGTAGACTGGCTCAGGAATTCTGGGAGTTGAAGTCCACAAGTCCTAAAGGGGCCATTGTTCCCCACCTCTGCTCTAGATGGATGAATTTCATCTTGTAGAATTTCCAACAATTGCTTTGCTAACTGGGCAGCTCAAGGAATTAAAGTCATGTTTCTGGCAGGCTGCCCAGATTGAGAAGATTAGCCCATCTAATGTGACTCTCCAAATGCATCCTCTCATTAATCTTTTGAATGCCCCACCATCTTTTGTTAATGGTCCCGACTCTTATTATTTCTCCTTTCTTGCCTCTTTTGTACACGAAATACATACTAGTTGAGAATGAATTACCTTGGCACTAGTAGGTGACAATTGCTTTGCTGACATAATGTGCTATGCCAAAAGTCCATCTGCATGTACCACAATTTTCATGCACACAATTGTACATGTCCCATTAACAAAAACACTGTTTGCTGTAATAAAGTACAGTAAAGCCCGAAGTAGCTGCCACTTTGTATTTGTAGAAGTATATTCATCACAAACTTGGTCATAGGTTATGCATTCTGTTTTCCATACACATCCTAGGTTTGCGTAGTATCATAGTGACATTGATATAGTAGGGTCATGTATGTTAACTGGATTTTTTTCAACATGTTTTGTTTGGTCATATTTTTTTAAAAAATAAGACTGAAGTATGCTGTCAGAATGTCTCACATATAATTTAAAATGTCATGCCCAATTTATATGAATAGACAGCTTTGTAAAATGAAAAAGTTCAATATAGATTCTTGCCTCCCCATCCCACTGCTCCAATTATTAAAGGTATTTTTTAAAAACCCTGCTCTTTCATTAGAGATTTCTTCTGAAATCTCTACTGGCAGCTTCTAATAGCAACTGCATCCCTTTTTCAAGAAGGTGCATTTGCCTTTCCCTGGTCCAGTTTTTGGGAAAAGATATTTGATTCAAGGACTTTCTCTAGCAGGTTGAAAAGATCTTTTTTTTTTTTTTTGCAGAGCTTTAATAAAACCCTAATTAAAAATAATACAGATCAAACTTTCCATAGCTGTCATCATGAAACAAAATAAGACATTATTCAAGAGAATTGTCACTGAAGAAAGTAATAGTCAAATGACCATACCCACTTGAAAAGCCCAGGATTACTTGCCTCACCCACCATTAACATGAAACATGCTTTCCCGCTTGAATTTTCCTAGAGATTGTCCTTGTAGATGGACATCCAAAACGCATGGAGTACTGAAATGTTTTTCCAATGCTTGCCTTTAAATAGAAAGAAGGTAAGCATTAATAGAAAATGGAGTGCAATTTTATGGCAAAAAAAAAAAAACCCAGTATCAATTTCTAATTCCTTGGATGTGGGAGAATCAAGAAAGGATATTATCACTTTCATGCTTCTTGTGAGCCTGGCCAAAAGTTCAATCAAACAGAAAAGAGCTGGAAGTGACCTTGGAGGCCTTCTAGTCCAACCCCTGCTCAAGCAGGAGGCCCTATACCATTTCAGACAATTGATTGTCCAGTCTCTTCTTAAAAACCTCCAGTGATGAAGCACCCACAACTTGTGAAGGCAAGCTGTTCCATCGGATAATTGTACTCACTGTTAGGAAGTTTCACGTTATTTCCAGGTTGTTTCTCTCCTTGACTAATCTCCATCCATTGTTTCTTGTCCTGCCCTCTGGTGATTTGGAAAATAAGTTGACCCCCTCCTCTTTGTGGCAACCTCTTAAATACTGGAATACTGCTAACATGTCCCCCCAAGTCCTTCTTTTTTCTAGACTAGCCAAACCCAAACCCTGCAACCGTCCTTCATATGTTTTAGTCTCCAGGCCTTTAACCATCTTGTTTGCTCTTTTCTGCACTCTTTCCAGAGTCTCAGCATCTTTTTTTGTAACGCGATGACCAAAACTGGATGCAGTATTCAAGGTGTGGTCTTACTTAGGCTTTATAAAGTGATACTAATACACATGATTTTGATTCTATGCCTCTGTTTATACAACCAAGGATTGCATTAGGTTTTTTGGCTGCTACTGCACACTGATCACTGATCAAGTGATCGTCCACTAGGACTGCTCAGTCACTGGTGGGTCAGAAGGAGGAGGAGGAGGCAGACTTTGGTCTAAATCCAACTAAAAAACCCTCATACAAAGGGTATGCATCTTAATGAGGAATTTAGGAACTATTATATGATTCAGTGTTGTCAAAAAGTTTGTGTATCTTTATTAATTTATTGGGACTTATATGTTGCTCTAATCCAAAAGAAGTTCCTTGGATGAAAGACTACCAAACCAAAGGAGCCACTGATCAGATACACTGTACCCTTTGATAGAACTAAACAATATTCATTTTCACAAAATAGTAAGACAAAGTGCCAGAAGAACTTGGCATGGTCTCTGATTCTCTGGCAAATAAGTATAAAGGACTGAGAGGAAGACCGCGTGAACAAAAATACTTTTAACAACATTCTTTACAAATTGTTCTTCATTCATATGGACAAAGCAGACTTTTTACACTACATATTCAAGCAAAGTAGTTTCATTGCAGACAGGATAATTGTTGTGAACAAAAGAAAGTAAAAAGAACACAGTAGCAAAGAAGAATTTGAAGACACATTCATTGCATGTGATACATCACAGAAACCAGCAGAGGGTGCTGGCGATCCATAAGACAAAAATTCACTTGCAGTGTTTCTCAACCTTGACAATTTTAAGACATGTGGACTTCAACTCCCAGAATTCCACAGCCAGCAATGCTGGCTGTAGAATTCTGGGAGTTGAAGTCCACATGCCTTAAAATTGTCAAGGTTGAGAAACACTACTTAACAGTAAACCTATGAAATGATTCAATACAGATTTTAAAAAGAATGTGTTTACCCAGCTTCAAACTTCCACCTATCCTATGTATAGTAAACCTTCAAGATCCACAGTCCAAAATCCATTGTTGCAACTCACTTTGCTTTCCCTAAACATTAAAAACATTAAAACAGCCAGGACCAAGAAATTAAGAATATAAGCAGTGAGCTTCCTGCTGGACTGGACATCTAATCCCAGTAGTCTGTCCTCACAATGGTCAACTGGTGGGTACCATATTAAGAACACTGCACACAAAATATATTCCAAAATCCTCTCTTGTTCCAGAATAATGAACTGAAGGGAGATTCCTTTTGAATTGGGGTAGGGGGGAAACTTCCTATCAATAGGAACGATTCATTCAAGGAACCAAAAGTTCAGGGCAGACTCCGTGCGTTGGAGATGCTCAAGGCAGGGTTAGACAGCTATATTGTGACTGCTTTATTTTGTATTCCTGAACTGGGGAGAGGTTTTGTCTCATTTTTTTTCTCCCTGTGAACACTGGATATGTTGACTAAATATGTGTACATTAATGCCCAACAATATCTGGACAGCCATAAAGTCCCTACCCCCATTTATAATTTCATACTGCTGATTTTACACTTCTTGAATATTCCCCAGATCAGCGATCCCCAACCTTTCTAGCTCTGAGGACTGGCAGCAGCGGTAGCGGCCGGGGGGGGAGGAGATGGTTTCATGCCACTTGCGCAAATGGAGCTTCATGCGCTCACCAGATGCTTGTGCGGCCCGGTTCCCAATGGGATGCAGACTGCTAGCAGTCCATGGACCAGGATTGGGGATCACTGCCCTAGATTTAGATCATTTTCTCATCACTGAATTACAACATTTTATAAAGAACCATCCAGTAATCTCTATAATGAATGTAATGAAGGCAGACCTTACATCACTTAACAAAGACTGGTTGGTATTAGCAATAGCAAGAGCACTTAGACTTAAATACCACTTCACAGTGCTTTACGCCCCTCTCTAAGCAATTTACAGAACCAGCATATTGCCCCCAACAAACTGGGTTCTCATTTTACCGACTTTGGAAGGATGGAAGGCTGAGTCAACCTTGAGCCGGTGAGAATTGAACTGTTGAACTGCTGGCAGCTGACAGTCAGAAGAAATAGCCTGCAGTACTGCACTCTAACCACTGTGCCACCAGGGCTCATTAGAAAACACTATAAATGCCTGGTGAAGAAATAAGTGACAAATATGACACCCAAATACACAGATATGAGGTTCTAAAGAATGTCTATGTGCAACCATTTTTGGCTTACTTAAAAAAGAAAAAAAAACTGGGCAGAAATCTAATAGTCATCCTGTAACCAACAGAAAATCACTGTGTAATTTACATTTTATATACAGTATATTAAACATTTTTTCAAGTCCAAGCAATCCTCAAGATTTAAATCACAAGTAGATGTTCAGTTTTCTTTCCAAATTTCAATGGTTGTTCTTCTTTTCTTCAGATTACTAAAAAAAAAACCAACCCTGTATTATATGTAGACAATTTTTCTCTTCTTCTTTTTTTTTTTTAAACAAAGTGCAAATGTTGTGACTGCCACTTCTGCTATACTGGGTCTTGCCAGTCCCACATGTTTTCAGATGGCCATGCATCCTATCCTTCCATTCATCCATCCATGGCATATCCTCTTAAACAAGACGTCCTACTGAAGTTGTAGACAGAGAAGAAAACAAAAGGTGATAAACCAATTAAATCCTATTAAAAGTAATTGATTGATTAAGGGAGCAAGTTAGGCGTAGGTAGCAGGCTAGAAACCAGGAGACTGTGGGTTCTAGTTCTGCCTAAGCACAAAACCAGCTGGGTCAATCACTGTGTCTCAGCCCTAGGAAGCAGATAATGGAAAACCACGTCCAGAAAAGCTTATCAAGAAAACTTCAGGGACTGGTTCAGGCCAGCAGTTAGGAATGACCAGAAGGCACGAAAAAAAAACACAGTATAGTTCACGAGACATCACCCACTGAACAGCTAATGAGGGTGATACTGATAATAATAATAATAATAATAATAATAATAATAATAATAATAATAGTTGGAAGGGACCTTGGAGGTCATCTAGTCCAACCCCCTGCTCAGGCAGGAAACCTTACACCATTTCGGACAAATGGCTGTCCAGTCTCTTCTTAAAAACTTCCAGTTTTGGAGCATTCACCGCTTCTGGAGTGTTCCATTGGTTAATTGTTCTATCTAGTCATGCTATTCTTTCTTTTATAACTTATACCAAGGTAAGTTCTTATTTGAAATACAAATCTCTTTTTATATGCATATTTTTTACAGAGAAATGCTTTTTTCAGGCACATATCTCACAAAAAATATGTGTTTATGATTATATTACTTTAAAATAATGACAATCATTTACACTTTTTTTTAAAAAAAAAAAATCTCTTAATTGCCTCCCCACTGCCCATACCCTCTTGGGTTGAGAAAAGCAGGATACAATGAAGCTGTAAAAAGCAGCACAAAATTAAAATTAGTATACAATCATGTAGAGAATCAAACTTGTCACTAATTGTGGTTTTAAAAATTCTGTATTTTACAATGCTGTTTCCTTTTGTTTTTAAAATCACAACTAGTGACAAGTTTGATTCTCTACATGATTGTATACTAACCTTAATTTTAATTTTATGCTGCTCATTGATTAAAAAGTGAAAGAGCATAACTTTGCAGGATCCAATCTGGTTCAGTCACCGGGACCAGAGGTTTAGTCATACAGAATACAGAATAATAAAGTCAGAAGGGACCTTGGAGGTCTTCTAGTCCAACCCCCTGCTCAGGCAGGAAACCCTATACCATTTCAGAGAGATGGTTGTCCAATCTCTTCTTGAAACCTTCCAGTATTGGAGGATTCACAACTTCTGGAGGCAGGTTGTTCCACTGATTAATTGTTTTGTGCTTTTGGACTTGTGCTGGAGCCCAATGGATCCGAAAGCTCAGAAAACTAAACCTCTGTTCCCAGTGACTGACCCAGATTGGATCCTGCAACATTAATCTGGGACATGTATATTTGCCTTCAGTCGAGCATAATTTTGTGTAGGTAACTGCAAACTTCTTTTAACGTATTCCTAATAATTGTTTCCTTTATGCTGCTCAACTAAAAAGCAAGCAAAATTATTCTTTGGATATTATTGAGACAATGTATGTAATTCAAGTACACCAGGTTATAAAGTGTGTTATAATGTAAATAGTTAATAAAAACCATTCAATAAGGCCTTTTCAAATCAGAACCATTTGAAGAAAGATGTAAATCGAGCCTCCTTTTCTGGTTTTCTTGACCTCTACTCTGAGTTGCATCAGCTTAAAATGTCCCCCAAGGGGCAGGTTAAGAAAGATCTAGGGATAGGAAGGCAATCAAAACAATAAAAACTACTTACTGAAAGGATTAACTCCTTGCCTTTTTCCATGAGGGAAGCTGCCAATGCCGCCTGCAAATATAAAGAATATTCTTTTGTCTGTTAACTCTAGAGATATTGGTCCTGTGATTGCTTTACACTTTAAGAAGATACAAAGACTAATCTGCCTATGATACCTGAAATACTTCACATTAGAATTAGGAAGAGCATTAAACCAATTTCTTGCCTGGGTTATTTTAGTTTTAGAAAAGTAGTAAATGTAAATCCATATAATGAGCAATTCCCTCAAAGGACATCACAAGGCCTATTTTATGATAAGCATCTACCTTACTGAGATCAGAGAAACAGCAATGAACATTATTAAATTTCTTCAAAATAGGAACTCAGTGGCTTCTCCTGGGCAATAAACTCATTAATATCTGCAGAAAAATAAAATGGAAACAGCTGGGCCATTCTGAATATAGGACAGATCCTTTCGTATTAATAAAGGATTTTGTTTCATTTTTCCCCCCCCAAGTTGGTGTGTCTCCAGGCTAAGGGTAGATTGAGGCAGGGAGAGCAAGAAAATTGCCACTACAGAGTCTTTCTACAGATGGGCTGGGCTGCAAGTAAATAATTGCACAGGACCCAGTGCTGTATAAAGACTGGTCTTTAATTACGTCCTAGAAGGTATAGGGCAGTGGTGGCGAACCTATGGCACGCATGCCAGAGCGGCACTCAGAGCCCTCTCTGTGGGCACATGCGCCATGCCCCGGAGATGGCAACCGTCCCTCTTCAACCAGCCACCCGCTAACTCGCCGAGGCCCCACATGGTTGGATGCATCCCAGCACCCATGCGCTCGCTGGCCTCTGTGTGCAGGGGCCGATGGTGTCAGGCAGCAACTACCCTGGCCCAACTCACCTTGCCCTTTGACAATGGCACCCCCACCCTGCCTTGCCTCACCCCGCAGGACAAACCTTCTTCCTACCGCCCCACCTGCCAGAGACCCCCTGGATCTCCCCCAACCCTGCCTGGCCCCCACAGGCATCCCTCCCCATGAGCAACATTGAGGTGATCACGCCCACCTTGGCCACACCCACCCAATCTGCTATGACCACCACAGCCATGCCCATCCAGTGGGCCACACCCACCTGGCACCCAGTGATAACTAAGTGGGTTTTGGGTTGCAGTTTGGGCACTCAGTCTCTAAAAGGTTCGCCATCACTGGTATAGGGGTTACAACACACACAATCTAGAAAATCCATGATTGTACAAGTGAATTATTAGACCCAGGGAATCTGTACTTAGCAATATGCCTCAGGATGGGGCTTGCTTAATGTTCACCCTAACACATCATGGTTTCAATCCAAAGAGAAAAGAAAAAATAAATGTAAACAGTAGCATTTCGAAACGAGTTATACAGCTGAAAAATCTTGACTCCCAGTGACTGCCTAGACAGGTTCATGGAGTCTTCCCGACAACCTTTTTTACAAGTGGTTTGGCTTTGCTTTCTTCCTAAGACTCAGAGTGACTGGCCCAAGGTTACCCACCTGGCATTGTACCTCAGGTGGGCCTAAAACGTACCATCTCCTGGCTTCTAGCCTGAAGCTTTAATCACTACACCAAACTGCCTCTCTTGAAAGACATTATGAGGCATAATAACTTTTTTTTAAAATGGAACTATTTCAAGGGAAATCTGCACTTAACCAAAGAAGTAGAACCTGTCTCCAAATGACCAAGATTACCAGCTTCTTGGCCCTTTTTTCCCTCCCCCCCCCCATCCAAGAAAAAAGCCACTGGGTCCCACCAAAACAAAACAACTTGAACAATAAAGCAAATCAGCCGGAATTTTAAAGCCAGTTGTTAGTTCATCCTACTCCATAAAAGACGCACCAACCTTCTTCCTTCCTGACCCCCAAACAGCCTTTCAATTCCTGTAGTGAGATGGACTTGTCTTTGTTGAGATCACAGTAGTCAGTGAAGCGTCGTGAACATTTCTTGGGCTTGGCTTTCTTCTTCAGGTAGCGCTTGAAGGGTTTCATCTCCCTTTTGTTGATGTCGCTGCTGTTATTGCTATCCAGCTGACTGAAGTACCAATGTACCACCCGCTCTTCCAGGGTATGGCTGGGATCAGGCTCAGAGAACCTTGGGAGACGCATAATGGTATCAGGCCAGATGTTTTTCTCTCTCACACATAGACACATACAAAAAAGAAACACAGACAAAATCTGGTGGCCAGATCTTTAACACACTCCTGTCCTTATAATCAACCCTGTCAGAGGTCTGCTTCTAGGGACAGCTGGACCTCTTTCTTCCAGAAATGTTTAGGGAAGCCTTGCATGACCACAAAAGACTGAAAAAGATACAAATTTAAGCAGCTTCTAATTCAACCAACCAAACATACACCCACACCCACTTCTGAGATAATGGACATTACAGTGTTTTAAAAATTCTGAAATGAAATGAAAATGCTAAGTGGAACTTTGTTATCGTCTTCCAACTATCAGTGAAAATGCTTCCTCTGCAGATGGAAGATGTTGGATACAAAAGTGTCTTCAGTCTAAATACCTATCTTAAACAAACTATCTGATGCGAATTTCAAGAGGCGGCGAGTTGTTGCGTGAACACTGTTTTGTGAGGGGTAAGCAATGTAAGAAGGCCATGCAGGAAAACGGTGGAACAGGAAGAGATTTGCACACATAAACACACAAAGTCTGTGTTAATCAGCATCATTTGTGATCTTGTCTTCCGCGAGATTAATTGAAGGTTAACATCGTGGTTCAATGTAACCCAAATGTAGAAAGAAAGAAAAACTAGCACACAAGAGTTGTTTCGCTTACAGGCTATAAAATTCAGATCCAGCAAGATTCCAAATAGAATAGATGCATGAACCTAGACATCATTTATCTGTCTAGTACATATTGTTCATGAACAAAGATTAAGATATAACATAATCAGTGCCATGTATAGATTTAAAATATTGTGCACAGACACATACACACATGCACACACACAAACACTTTAATGCTATCAAGAGCTTCAGAGGGATGTTTGAGAGTGATCCTGTCTCCCGGGATCCAACAGGGTTAGAGGAAAGTGGTCTTGATCCATTGGGGAAATTTTAACTTGGGAATGGGCTAAAGAGCCGTTTCCCCTTCCACACCCCCTTCTTTTCAATTGGTACCCTCCATCGGCAATAAAATAAAAGGAAAAGAAATGGGTATTATTGGTGCCAATTCTATTTTCTCACATTATTTTGTATTATATTATTTATCAAATTCATATGCTGCCCCTCTCACTGATAAAGACAGCTCCAGAACACATACAGGTAGTTCTCCACTTACAACCACAATTTGGACCAGAATTTCTTGTGCTAAGCAAGACAGTGGTTAAGTGAATTGTATCCAGCTTTATGACCATGGTTGTTAGGTGAATCACTGCAGTTATTAAGTGAATCCTGTAATCATTAAGCAAATCCTGCTTCCCCCTTCCCCCCATTGACCTTGCTTGTTGGAAGCTATCTGGGCAATTACATGACCCTGGGATGCTGCAATTGTTGTAAAATACATGGTGGCTGCCAGGTGCCCAAATTCTGATCCCGTGACCGAGAGGATGCTGCAGTGTTTCCAATTAAGTCACTAATTCTGAATAATCATTAATTGAATAGTTGTGCATTAAGCACTACCTATATTTGATTTACTACACAGGAGTGGTGACTGAACAGTGCCTACTCCCAATTTTCCTTCTCAGCTAGCACCTTTAAGGCATACTCACAGTGCCCAGAGCATCAAGCTTTGGAGCACCCCAAAATTCCAAGACTACAGGATAGACCTCTTTTCCCCTATCAACAGCAGTTGGAAATGACCCTGGAGGAAGCACACCACAAAGCTGCCCCTTCCTACCTCCTAAGATCCAGTCCAGAAGGATACCATGGTCAACGGGTATTGAAAACCCCTGAGACATCAAGAATAGCAATAGCAATAGCAGTTAGACTTATATACTGCTTCATAATGCTTTACAGCTCTAAGGGATTTACAGAGTCAGCATTTTGCCCCTAACAATTTTACCGACCTCGGAAGGATGGAAGACCGAGTCAACCTTGAGCTGGTATGGATCAAACTCCTGGCAGTTGGCAGAGTTAGCCTGCAATGCTGCATTCTAACCACTGCACCACCACAGCTCTTGAAGAGGCAGGTTGGACACTCCACCTCCATCCTGCCCCCATCACAGACCATCCAAGAGTATAATCAATGCTATTTTGGTCCCATATTCCAGTGTGGACCCTGACTGAAAGAGGCCTAAAGAATCACTTCTTCCATAATCTTATGTAGTTGTGGTAAAACCACAAAAAGGGGAGGTTGGAAACAGGACAAAAATTGTCCAACATGGCAGGTTCAATGATGGCTTGTTGAGAAGAAAACTATTCTTCTCTTCAAGAACTGCCAGCAATCTGCAGCATCTTTGCTGTTAGGCTTTTCTTTACTATTGTTCTTTTAAGTTTTTAGTGGCCTTTCCAAAGTCAATGAAATGGCTGTTCTCACCATTTGCAAAAATAAAATAAAATAAAATATAGAATATGAGACATAAATGAAAAATGTAGGAAAAGAATAGCTTACACATGAATAGAGTTGTGAATACCAAACACAGAGAGATAAAGTCAGTGAGAACAAATAAAAATGTATATGAATGTGAAGAACTTGTGAAGGTATCTTAATGTTAATTTAAGCATGCGGAAGCAACTGGATGGCATATAGCTATGCAAGTGTAAACCAGGTTATATTGACTAGTGAGTCAACTGAGAACAGAACAGATTTTTACTGAAGAACCAAAATCCCCAAAGAAAAGTCATGTACATCCATATTTTAAATGACATCAGAGGTTCAGACTAAAGGTCATAAGAATAAAATACAGGAATAGTTGAGGAGCATAAATCCACCAAAAACTGAGGGAAGGGGGGGGGGAATCTTCCTTTTCCTGAACTCTTTGTACTGCATTGCTTCTGCTTGACTTCAATAGCAGATGTGACCCAAGCAGGAAAAACTGTGAGGTAAAATGGAATAAGGTTCACTTGTTCTCCTTTGTAGAGAAGAGACCCATTTTATGTACAGTATGAATTGTACAAACCATAACTGTTTGTGTCTCAAGAGCAAAAAGCAAGAGCTTATCTCTTTCATAATGAAAATGGGAAGTGATACTTGGAAACATACAGGTAATCCTTGACTTACAATCATTTATGTAATAGTGATTCAAATTAGTGACAGCCTCCAAAAAAAGTCAGTTATGATCTAAATTCAAATTTATGATTATTGCCCTTCCCCCATGCTTATGTGATCACAATTTGGACACTTGGCAACCAGCTCGTATTTACAAACAGTATCCCGTAGTCACATTATCACAATTTGTGGTGGTTGTTTTTTCATTGGTTTCCAATTGTGTGACTCAAGTTATAACCATAGTGATTCATTTATGATCTTAAAAAGATCCGGTCCCGTCAGGTTGTGGTTTTCATCATAACAACTTACAATGGAAATTTTGGTCCCAATTGTGAACATACGTCAAGGACTATCTGTATATGAGGAAGCTTCTTTGATTTTCCTAAAACAGTACATACTACATAGGTTTCTACTTTGTATCATCCTCCTGCAATTGTGTTATTCTCCAGGCGAGATACAGGTTTTTGGGTGTCTCATTTCTATTTCACCTGAATGCTTCCAAACTCACCTTCCACCTCCAGCAGGTGCTGCTGAGTTAATAGCCTGTACCATATCTGTGGTGAGAGCATCCAGTAAACTGGTAATAAATTCTACTTTTTTCCCTTCTGGGCAACCTGGAAAGGAGAACAACTTAGTTTAAAAAAAAAAAAAAACAGAAGACAAAACGGATTTCTTTTTTCCATGTCTATACTGCTGCCAGGTTATGTTTCAGACAGTTCTGATGAAATATTTTCAGTAGGTTGAAATCTCAACTGGTTCTTCAGTAGCAACAGGCCTTTTCTTCTTCCACAATCAATGTACATTTCATGGAGCTGTACCCAGTAAGAAGGAGGCAAAGACTGATTTCTCTAAGAAAAATGTTCTTGTTGTTCCAGTGGAATTATAACATAGTTGCATAAATGCATATTGTGAGTATTTCGAGTTAATATACATTAAATCTCCCAATAAGAATTTTAAAAAAAAACAGCAAGGGGGGTTTCATGGACACTGAAAAGTCAATCACGCACAATCACTGGAGTTTATAGATTTCAGTCCTTAACGAAGAAATTTAAATTAACTTTTCGTAACCTCTTGGGAAGTCCCAGAAGTCTCAAACAGCATGGATAGTAACAATCCCAACAGAGCTGGAGGCTGACTAGTTGGGAAAAGCTGTTTTAATTAATAATGCAAAATCTCCTTACTTTTCATTGAAATACAATCAGAGGGTCCACACAATGAAGCTTCGACTGGCAGGAACATACAGTATAGCTCAGGGTAACCTTGGCTCTTTCATGTAACCTTGGCTCTTTTATGACTCGTGGACTTCAACTCCCAGAATTCCTGAGCCAGCCACACTGAGAAAAAAGGGAGAGGTTTCCAAGCTGAGACATGCTGGCTCAGGAATTCTGGGAGTTGAAGTCCACGAGTCATAAAAGAGCCAAGGTTGCCTACCACTGGTATAGCCATATTGGAAATTTCTGCAGGTTTGAAATATGGAGTGTCATTAGCACATTACTAAATTATACATTGCCAGTACAGGAAGTCCCCGACTTACAGCAGTTCACTTAGTGACTATTCAAAGTTACAACGGCACTGAGAAAAGTGATTTATGACCATTTTTCACACTTATGACCATTGCAGCATCCCCCATGGTCACATGATTTACATTTGGATCTTGTCAACTGGCTCACATTTATCACAGTTGCAACTTCCCTGGGTCACGTGATCCCCTTTTGCGACCTTCTGAAGAGCAAAGTCAATGGGGGAAACCAGATTCACTTACCAACCAGGTTACTAATTTAACAGCTGCAGTGATTCACTTAACAAATGAGGCAAGAAAAGTCGTAAAATGGGGCAAAACTCACTTTAACAAATGTCTCAATTAACATAAATTTTGGGCTCAGTTGTGGTCGTAAGTCGAGGACTACCAGCATTACACAAAAAACGGGATGTTACAGTTCCATCATGATCATTGTGCAATAATGAAGGAATGTAAATGAGCAACTGCCCATGCTACAGAAAATCCTGAACAATTATTCCATCGTTATGAATGCCTTCTACATTCCTCACACTTAATCAACATTTGTACAAAAATTTCTTGAATGCTTGAGTCAAACCAAATTGATGGGAAAGAACTAAAAATAGGACTGCAAAAGAAACTGTTCAAGCCCAAATTAATTTTAGTGGGGATGGGAATGACCTCTTTCTATATACAGATAAAACTCGAAAAATTAGAATATTGTGCAAAAGTTCATTTATTTCAGTAATGCAACTTAAAAGGTGAAACTAATATAATCATCTCAATTATGGCTTGAACTATCTTGCTGTGCATTTAATGAGTCTATCTCATATATTAGTTTCACCTTTTAAGTTGCATTACTGAAATAAATGAACTTTTGCACGATATTCTAATTTTTCAAGTTTCACCTGTATTTGATGGCATTGTCGTCACCATTATTGACATTATATGTTGTGAAGTGATCATATTAATATAAGATTTAACATCAAAACAAAGCTCTATAGTCCACTGGCTAATTATAATCCAACCAACAGGTGAGACCCTTCCCAACCTTACCACTTTTATTATTCCTTCATTTTTACCTGGAAGTTCTCGGTCTTTGAAAGGATCGTCAATATCTGGACTTCTGGATCGAGCACCACTTTCACATACAGGGGTCTCATATCTAAATAATGGAAATATTAAAAAAAAACCAGCACATTCTTAAGGCATGTGTGACAATAACTTTTATATTCTCCAACTCCTGTGGAAATACAAGGCCCAGCAGACCAGGGACTCCAAAAAATTCATTTTTGATTTTCTATATTATCCCTTTCAAAACAATACTATATCACATGATTTTATTCCATGGGCATTTGGAAATGCAGATTGGGATTCTAAAAGTGTAAAAAGTAATCAAATCAAGGAGTTGGGTTGGGGGGGGGGAGACTAAACTAAGTAGTCTCCCTGTGATCCAACTCTTTCCTCTGGGACTTCTGTCTATTAAAAATTCTTCTTATTGACCAGAAGCTGCCAGGCTTCTGGTTGGCTGTTGTATTAGGCTGACCATCACAGTGGGAAATACTGCTACTGCTCTGTCCACCCTATTAAAGAAACTCTTTCTTCCTGAACTAGTTGGGACAATCTTTACCACAGTAGAGGACTGTACTAGATATTATGTCTTGAGGAATTTAATTTCCATGCTGAGGTTGCCATGTCAGAAGTGGCTCAGGATTTCATGCCTGCTGCGATGGATTTCTTCCAACTGATATCTTGCCTCACACATACAGTAGAGCACTCAGAGGACTAGGCCAGGGGGAGGGAACATTGGCTCTTTTATGACTTGGGGACTTCAACTCCCAGAATTCCTCAGCCAACGTGAGTTGAAGTCCACAAGTCATAAAAGTGCCAAGTTTGAAGACCCCTGGACTAGGCCCGTGGAACAAAAGGGAAGGTTCTTTCTGTAACTGTTATCATATGGAGATCGTTTTAAAACTGTTGGCTGCTATAGACCTCAGAAGACATAGACGATCAGATAAAATGGCCTGCTCCAAATGCCTGATGAATTTGGATATTTCCTAAATGGGCTTAGATGAGGGAGAACAAGTTGAAATTTAATTCAGATATGATGGAGGCACTGTTAATAAGTACATCTGAAGATTGAAGGGAAGCCTGTTTGGGATAAGGAGGCACCTGCCTCAGAAAAAGGACTTCAGAGTTTGGGATACTCTATGAACCCATCTGTCACTGTACTTGCTGGTGGTTGGAGTGATGAGGAGGATGTTTGCACAATTGCCACTAGTGCCAACTGCTACTCTTCTTGAGCCAGTTTCATGGAGATCCACTACTGATATGGGAATATTTCTTACAAAGAGCTGGAAATTACAATTAGTACAAAATGCAATAACTAGGCTGCTGATCACAATAAGACGCAGGAATCGCATATAACCATATAAGATATCTACCCTGGCTACCAGCTGCCTATCAGATGAGGTGGTTCTAAACAGTTTGGATTCTTTATCTGAGGGACCATCTCTCCCACAAAGAATGTACCCAAATCAACAGGAGAGGTTGAAGATTAGCGCAGTTATTCGGCACATGGGAGAGGGCCTTTTTTATTTGTGTGACTCCCAGAGTATCAAATGCTCTCCCCGGATTAGTTCATTAACTCTGCTGTCTCTCAAAAAAATACCTATCAAAAACTACCTTTCCCATTAATCATTAGCGGAGTTTAACAATAGTAATTTTATTTAAATCTTCATTTTAATTGTATCTATGTTTTATACTTTATTATATGTTATAAGAAGCCTTGAGGGTTTAATTAAAAATAGCAAAAGTAACAAATAATTTTTTTATTATTATTCATGCGATGTCAACTGAATCTTTATTTTGGTCATAGACCAGTAAAAAATGCAATTAAGAAAAATTATACACATTTCAATAATAATATTGAAACATGTTAAGAGATAAAATGTAACCAAAAACTAATTATAGGTAAATGTAGATACTCCTTAGTTTACAAAAGCAATTGAGATCGGGATTGCTATCGTTAAGCGATGCAATTGTAAAAAGTGGTGTCCCATGATCCCATTGCTTCCTGATGACAATCCCTAAGATGTGTGAGACATTAAGTGGAAAACAGTGGGAGTCCCAGATAAGGAAAGTAGTGGTACGAGGAGGGGCGGGTGGGGGCGGGCCTGGTGCCGGCCAAGTGTGAGTCCAGGGAGGTCAGGTAAAGGAGGGTACCCTGCGGTATGAGGACAGGAAAGCCAGGGAGATTTACTTGTGACCTTCCCTGTCAGTTTCTCCATTGACTTTGCTGGTTGGAAGCCAAGACAGGACATCGCAAATAGCAATCACCGTGGGGCACTACAACTGTCCTGTGACTGTCAGTTGACAAGTGCCTGAATAACAATCTTCTGACCAAGCATAAGTACCACTCATTCAGTGCTACTGCAACTTAGAACGGTCATTGAATAATTGTTTGGTAAGCGAGGATTACCTGTACTACAATATTAAAACCTTAAGATGTCTCTGTAAAAAAAACCTTGCTGTTACTATCAAGCCTCTGAAAGCCACAAAGAGAATGTAGGGACAGATAAGCTGATCAAGGAGAGATTCAACCTAGAAATAAAGAGAAACTGTCTGACAGTGAGAACAATCAACCAATGGAACAGTTTGCCATCAGAAGTTGTGGGTGCTTCATCACTGGAGACTTTTTAGAAGAGACTGGACTGCCACTTGTCAGAAATTGTATAGTGTCTCTTGCTTGAGCAGGGAGTTGGACTAGATGACCTTCACGATTCCTTCCAACTCTGTTATTCTATTCTAAAAGGATTCTTTTACTAGGACGCAGTAAATATGGGCCAGGGTATTCCAACAAAAGATCCCAGGAAAATAAATAAAAGTCAAACTCCATGTACTAATCAGTTATTTGCTAGTTTGGATTATCTAAACTCAAAAAGAATTATATAGGGCTTCAATCTAATATTTGCTTCCCAATTAATAGGAAATTTAAACAAAGTCATAATTTTAATAAAATATCAACAATCATTTAACGAATTTTATGTTATAGATTGACACCTGGCTGGAATTAAACAAAATAATTATAATTTTGAAGCTAGCAAATTTTTCTCCAATTTAATCACTCATGACATTAAGCATTCTTACACTCATTTCAGACACAAACACATTAAACCAGGGGTTCTCAACCTTGGCAATTTTAAGACTTGTGGACTTCAACTCCCAGAATTCCCAGCAAAGCTGGCTGAGGAATTCTGGGAGTTGAAGTCCACAAGTCTTAAAGTTGCCAAGGTTGAGAACCCCTGCATTAAACGGTGATTATTTTATCTTTTTCATACTTATAGAGAGACACTACATTTCATCAGACTTTAGGCTGAAAAAGGTTATCCACCCCTGATTTAAATCCTCTTTAGCGATTGCTTCCTCCAAGCACATTCCACCTCCATGCTGTGACTGATTTCGTCTAAAGGTGAAATTGGAAGCCAACTGTTCTTACCGGGTGGAAGTGCCAGGTAGGGGGCGACCTGTGTCTACCAGAACACACCAGCAATAGCCAGTGGACTGATGACACTGCACCGGTTTGTACAGTCCTCCAGGGGCACATTCAGGGATAACAATTCCTTCACGCGGATTCTGCTTGGCTTCCTCAAGTGCACTCTGCCTTTCTTGGTCACATGAATTAATTTTCTCTGAAAAAGAAATCATGAATTCAGGGCTATTCTGGAAGTTTTACAGGAGCTCCCATCTTATCCGCCTCCCACCTTAAAAACAAAGCAAAACAAAACGGACCCCCGCCTGGTTCACATATCACATTACTGTAAATCATAACGCAACTCTCGACTGGTTTAGATTTCACTTGAACCAGGCCCTTTAGCTTGTTCAATAGCTGCTTCCTGGATTGCAACTTGCATCTGTTCTGTCAAAGGAAGCCCCTGCTGTTCACTTATTGAAATAGAGAGAAAGCAAATTGAGTAACCCTCCAATAGTTTGCTTGGATTTCTATTCATTGGTTTTGATAATAAGAAATGGAGGGGAGAAAATGGAAAATCCTCTACTGGAACTAAAAACAAAAAATCTAGATATATGAATCTTTAATGCATTGTTTGTGAAAAGGAAGCACTGTTTATTTGCATGAACATGAGTGAATACAGGAGAAAAAATAAAATGCAGATGGAAGAAAAATTGACTAAATCTGATCAAACACTGATAAAATCTGATTGAATGCTACTGGTAAGCATTCATAGTAAAGCTTATTTTATGGCAATGGTGAAGGCAGAGGATAAAATATTCTTTCTTTTCTTCTCCATTGCCACTGCAATTTCAGTGTTCTCGGTAAAACTGTTTCAAGTGGTTCATGGCCTTTTGAGATCTGGTCACTTTGGGATGATTTACAACTCTCAGTGGTTAGCTATAACATATTTATAGGGATAAATAAATGACATTTATCTTGATTTAGATTCTACACTTCCAGCCATTTAATCTACAGAAGTGTGTAGCCCTAGGTGGTCAGATTTCTTCAGAGGAATTTGAGTGCTGAAGTCAAACAAAAGCAAATCCTGATATTTCTAACTTGTGTTTTTCTTCTTGAGAAATATATGACATGTTATTCTACGGATAACTGAATGATGGACACAGAAAAGAAGGAAACAAATACAGATGGTCAGCTATTAGAAAAAGGACTTGTTCTGTCTGGCAGAAACAGATGGGAAGGACACAGGTCATAGCAATTCAAATAAAAGCACTGATGTCAGGATTTGCCTTATATTTTGTTTGTAGAATAAAAGCTGCTTCAGTTACACTCCAAATTCTATTTCAAATAAGTTTCTCAAACTCCACAATGTTAGTGCTTTGAATAGTTGCAATAGACCTTAAATTGGACTTGGAAACTAATTGGAAAGCAGTACAAATCTTGCAATTTAAGCATTATACATTTTAAATAAACCTCCCATTCAGCACTTTTAGCAGCTTCTTCAAACTCTTTGAAATTTCTACACATTTTCAAGGGCTAAAGATAAAACTCCTTGGGTTGAGTCTGATTCTTGATGACTGTATCCATCCAGTTTTTGGCAGTGTTACATTCCAAATCTGTTCACCTGCCTTGGAATTTCCAGGTGGTCCCCAATCCATATATGGGTAGTCCTCAATGTATTATCACAACTGAGCCCAAAATTTAATGAGGTATTTGTTAAGAGAATTTTGTCCTCTTTTACAACCTTTTGTGCCAAGTGATTCATTAATGATTCATTACAATTGTTAAGTTAGTAACACAGTTGTTAAGTGAATCTGGCTTCCCATTAACTTTGCTTGTCAGAAGGTCGCAAAAGATGATCACGTGTCCCCAGGACACTGCAATCATCATGAATATGAACCAGTTGCCAAGCATCTGAATTTTGATCATGAGACCAAGGTGATGTTGCAACAGATGTAAGTTGAAAAACAGTCATAAGTCGCTTTTTGCAGTGCCGTTGCAACTTTGAATAGTCACTAAATGACTATTCCCACTAAATAGGGAATTCCTATACAAGTCAGGATAACCCTGCTTAACATCTGAAAACAGCCAAAGTCAGCTAAAAACTGCAATGGTAGTAGCTTAAAATGAATTTGGTGCTTTAATTCAATCACTTTTCTTTAACATTGTGTAGAACTGGCAAATGAGTCCAAAGCAGAGCCTGCAGACTACATGATTCAATTCTCTATATTAGTTTTAGCGTGACAAGCAGCAAGGCCAAAAGGCTGTAATAGGTAACTCTAAAGCAGTGGTTCTCAACCTTTTTATACGGCGACCCCGGTCATAAGGACGCACCGCGCATGCGTGGCACCGCCCCCATGCGCGCCGCCCCCCATGCACGCCACCCATGCACGCCGGCGCCATGTGCGGCACACATGCACAGCATGGCCCCCGTGTGCGGTGCGCATGCACAGCGCCGCCCCATGCGCGGCGCGCATGCGTGGCGCCGCCCCGAGGGAAAAAATGGCGGATCGTGTTGTTTGGCGAGCCCCGTAAAATGGTCGTTCGACCCCAAATGGGGTCGCGACCCAAAGGTTGAGAACTGCTGCTCTAAAGCAAGGGTCCCCAACCTTGCCAACTTTAAGACCTGTGGACTTCAACTCCCAGAATTCCCCAGCATAGCTGGCTGGGGAATTCTGGGAGTTGAAGTCCACAGGTCTTAAAGTTGCCAAGGTTGGGGACCCCTGCTCTAAAGTACACAGTATACATGGCAATACAAACTTCTCATGTAGATTAGGAATAAAGAGTAAAGCCTTTGATATGTCTCCATATTTACGAATTTAGGCCATATTCAAAATTATAGGGTTTCTCAGCAAAATGATTTGAAATCATATTTGAAGTAAAGTACTAATTGTTGAGTCCTCGGCTTAATGGCAAATAAGCACAAAACATCTCGTAGTGTCAAGAAGCCTTTATTGTAGTCTCTTCTGCTCTGTTACAGCTCTGAGGCTCGCAGGCCTCTCTGCTTCTCTTAAGAACGCTTCCCTGGACCGAATGGCAACAATTGGCGCGCTCCGTGCCTTGCGCATGCACACGAAGCCGGCACCAGCCAGTCTGGTCCCAGGCAGCTTGCAACTCAGGACACAACACCCCTTTCCCCCCCCCCCCAGCTAAGACTAATAAACTATATGAATAGTTACACGCGACCTCAACACGAGCGTGGTGTGCCAACCCATGCTCCAAATGGTACCGGGCTATTATTCTGGGGATTAATACCCAGTGCCCGTATTTCCATTGTTCCCAACAACAGATACCCTCTCACTGTTTCTGCTTTGCCAGCAGAGTTACAAAGTCTTCAAGGTACTTAGGAGATCTCTTGACTTCTGTGATCTCCTTAGACCCTGAGAATCCCCAATTTCATTTTGCCCAGAGGATGACATGAAGTTGCCCCCTCTTTCAGACCCTGGTGGTCCCCATGGACCGTGCCCCATTGCCTGGTCTGCTTGCTTGCCCACCGGGCTCATCAGACCAGGACTTTGTTCTCCCGATAACCTGGTTGACCTGCCTAGTTGCAGGCTCTCTGACCCCTCTATAAAACTGCCATTGTTAGGCAACTCTGTAGAGCCTCCCAGGCCCACACTGGACCTATCAAGGGGCTGCATTCCTTTGCTTCCCCGTCCCTTAACGGGACTGTCTGGGGTTTCAGTATTTCCCCAAAACTCAGTTGCCCACCCATCTGTGCCGGAGGTGTCAGAATTGGGATTTGCCTCTCCGACCACCTCCCTGTGTGAATGCCTCCTTCTGGAAACAGCAGCAGTACTGGGCCAACTATACTGTTTATGTGCCAGCTCTCTTGCAATGTTTGAGTTATTAGGATGCTCCCGGTTATTCTCCCTGACTGGAGTACTAAATGGTATTGGTGAATGATGAGTATGCCCCCTGGGTGACTCCCTGGCTGGAGTAGGCACTGGTGCCTGTGTGCTTCCTAGTTCCCATGGATTCCTGTTTGGAACACTTGCGGAACCTTGGAATGATATGTCTTCCTTTGCAAAAAGTCTCTGCTGCAAGTCTCTGTTTCTAAGCTCACATACAAATCTGTCTCTCAGCCTTTCTTCTAAGTCTTTAAACTCACAAGGCTTAGCTCAGCGGTTCTCAACCTTTGGGTCGCGACCCCATTTGGGGTCGAACGACCATTTTACGGGGGTCGCCAAACAACGTGATCCGTCATTTTTTCCCCTCAGGGGGCGCCGCCACGTATGCACGCCGTGCATGGAGGGGCGCCGCACATGCACGCAACTGCCTGGGACCATTGCAATGTCCCAAGCCTGCCTTTGCAGGCTCAGGACACAACAGTAATCATCTCAGCATATAACCATATAATGGTTGTTCAGGGTATATGTGTAAGCGTGTGTTCATTTATTTAAACCCCAATCCAATCTCCAAGGGCTCTCAGAGGTTCAAAGGTGCACAATAAAAGTACACAAGCCAAGTAAGGATACAACATAAAATACAAAACTTTGTAAATAGTGAAAAAAAAAGCCACCAATCCATAAATTTAACCAAGCTGACCTCACAGCCCAGATGTCATCCAAAAGAGCTCCATTGTGATTTATTTCCAGAGTGCAAAGTAGAAGCCATCCCATATCTACAGGGAGGCCATTCCAGATCAACATTATCTCTGAGTAGTAGAGCCTCTGAAATCCATTCTTATTTTTCTTCCTAAATCAAATCGGCCAGGCCAGTGGCGGGATTCAGTTAGTTCGCACCGGTTTGGGAGAACCGGTAGCTAAATTTACCTGAATTTGGAGAACCAGCTGGCTTCTGGAAGTCGAGTCTAGGCCTCGGAGGCCTGGAGGAGGCATCAGAGGCCTGGAGGAAGCTTCCCAGGCCTAGAATGACCCACCAGAAGTGTGTCGATGCCACTTCCAGAAGTCCATTCTAGGCATCTGAGGTCTGGAGGAGCCCTCCCAGGCCTAGAACAGCCCATCGGAAGTGTGTGATGCCACTTCCGGAAGTCCATTCTAGGCATCGGAGGCCCAGGCCTGTATTAAATAAGAGAACCAGTTGTTCAGGTATTTGAATCCCACCACTGGGCCAGGCCACTTCCCTGTAGGCAGCTTGGAACCAAGCCGTAAAATGATTTATGGATTAGCCACAGCATTTTAAGTTGCATTTGGAAGCCTAACTCTGTTAAAGGGTGGGTCATAAGTTGTTTTTCTATCACTGCCCATATAAATGCCAGGATTTGCTCCAAAATCTTCCATGTAATCAATTCAAATTACTATATACTGCAATCATTTCAGTGAAATTATACATATGGTAATTATTTTTACACCAGAAATGCAGTCTTTCATTCAAATGTAATTCAATTTGAATTCTTACAATTTAGTTTCTTCATTTTCTATTACTTTCTCTATTTTATTCTCTCACCAGTTCTTGCTTGCATGCAAATGGTATTTCTTGCAGATCTTCCAATGCACCATTGTTGCTACTTTGTCATGCCGTTGTTTGTAGTCAGCCTGTGCGATTTTCTTGCAGCACCTGACAAGGTGGTCCATGATTTTTCAGCTTCTTTGCAGAGGCAGCATTTGCTGTCTGTGGCTGCTTTTTCAGTTCTGATTTTATATCCATTTGTTCTTAAGGCTTGGTCTTGTGCAGCCAGATTTAGCTCCTCTATTTCTTTTTTTCAATTTTCCATCTTTTAGCCGTCGACAGGTCTTGTTATAAATGCTTTGCCTATTTTTTTTAATATTCTGGGCTGACCATGTCATGTTTTACCTTGCCATGTCTATTTTCTACTTTGCATTTGGTATTCTTTAAAGCCAGTTTGATTTCTCCAATACTCAGTAAGTCTTCCTGGTATACTAACTTCAGTGCATCTTCTTTAGTATCCTTCAGATATTCTTCCAATGTCTTTTTTTCTTCTTTAACTGTTTGGTGTATTTGCAACATTCCACACCCATATTTTCCTTGGTAAGAAGCCATGATTCATTGTCATTATTTTTCAGGTCTTCCTATCCAGGGCTTTTAGTTCTGCTCGAGTCCAGTAGTCCACTATTCCAGCTGGGAATTTAATGACTGGAATTGCCCAAATATTAATTGCCTTTATTTCCTCCACTGAGTTTGGACTTTAAGATCTTGTTTAGTCAAATGATGTATTCGCTTCTAACCTTCTTTTTAACTTCAGCGTTTATTATTATTATCAATTAATTCTTGAATTTTGCATGCTTAATTCATATGATAGAAAAGATTTCTGTCAATTTATGTTTTTAGTTTACAAAAGGTATCCAAATGATTTCTGAATGCCAGAGTAGAACATGATCAAATAGCACGGTTTTAGAAATAAATGCCAAGGCTGAGGTGATTTTTTTTTACAAAAACAAAAACAAAAAACAAAAAGACAAACATATACCTGTATCCAGCTTCTAACCTTAATAGATTACTCAGTCTTCCTTTCAAATAACGTAATATACAAATCATTAGCAACTGTAACATATTTACCTAACTGCTACTGCTGGCTTTCAAAGAGCAGTTTACATTTCCATTTGTCTCATCATTACATCATCCTGTGGTTTTCTTTAAAGGCTAACAGTGTAGAATGACTACATGTTTGAAACCTGTCTTTAACCAAACCCAAATAATTTCACAATAAAAGAATAAGGAAAAAGTCCAAGGCTTTTTACAGAAGAAGCCATTATATAATCCAAATAATATATTCTAGGAGAGTTAAGAAACTATCTGGGGAAGGAATACATAACCTGTAAATGATCAGGTATCAGTTATTTATCCTTGCACTATGACTCACAACAAATTGCTATCTCCATCTATGGCAGATACAAATTCCACCGATGCCTAGCCAATGTAGTTCTATATACACAAATGAGAACATTAAATTTTGTGGTTCAAATTCATTATATGTGTGCATGTGTTTGTGTGTATAGACAGATAGAGATAGATATATATAGATATAGATGAGGGTGAAGGTTCATTCTCCAAACTTGTGGGTTGGTTTCTAAATGTTTCATTACCAGGCTAGGTAACATTTTCAGCAGAGTTTAGGGGATGTCAATGTTCTTATGTTTATAAGGGTTTCAGGTGTCAGTGTGTCAAGTGAGGGTCTGTGATGGGTCTTGTGATGGGGAGGTTACATCAGGTCAGGGTCATTGGGAGGTGAACTGCTGGTGGGAGGGGCCTTGCATAGTTCATTGTGGGTCGGTGCTGTCTCTGGTTGGCTGTGCAGTTGATTTGGATTCTGAGGGATTCGTAGGCTGGTTATAAGTCAATGTGTCTGTTGATGGAATTGTTTGTGGAGTGCTTCAATGAACTCACAAAGCAAACAGCACAAGTTCGACTGGAGCAATATAAAAATTATAGGCCCCACTACCACCCGCCATGCTCATGAGTTCATCTAACCAACCCAGGCAAGCCCCTCCCCTCCTACCAGTTCACCTCTCAATGACCCTGACCTGATGTAACCTCCCCCATCACAAGACCCATCACAGACCCTCATTTGACACACCCACACCTGAAGCCCTTATAAACAGAAGAACACTGACATCCCCTAACTCTGCTGAAGATGTTACCTAGCCTGGTAATGAAACATTTAGAAACCAACCCACAAGCTCTGAGAACAAACCTTCACCGTCTTCCTACACCCGAGCTACAGATATTCACCATTATTGTATTGATATACAGATACAGATATACACATACGCACACATACACAAACCCCAGTGAGGTTATAGGGATTTATAAATGGAAATAATTAAATACTTTATTCTATAAGAAATATCATTCTAAGAACACATTTCTTTACAACTAAAATTTATTTCAGTTCATAAAGATGCAGCAAAATAAGTCTACCTTTAAAGGTATAATTCCAATGTCAGAATAGAAAGAGGCAAAGTTTAGAAAACAGAACTTATACTAATAAACTAACTACATTCCTTAAAATGGAAAACATGGTAAAATCCAACCAAAAACAAGAAATTGAAGTTCTTATGCCAGAGGTAGCAGAAGCTTCCTTTCATACTAAATATTGACTATCCAGATGATATGATGCTCAAGAATGACTCACACTAAACATGAATGCCAGACCTACACTGAAAAGATACTCCTCAATGACCATCATCAGATACAATTTGTTATACACTATTTGACTATATAAATGCAATTAAATCCATTTTTAAACAGGAAGGTAAAAACTAATATAAGCTAATATGTAGTAAGAAAATAAAAATAAAAGAGAAAGCTAAATGTGCAAAAAAATGAAACAAAATTAGAAAGGAAAGAAAAGAGATACAAAGAAATTCTTCCCATCTTCTTTATAGCACTTATAAACACAACTATAAATTTACATAACTCTCTTCTTTCTATAATTTATTCTATAATCTATAATCATAAAAATGTTCACTTTTTTCTGTTTCACACAAAATGTCTACAAGGGGATTTCTAATCAGCAATAAATTTAGATAATTGTCTTTTCTCTAATTAAAGAAGTCAATTTAGCCATGTCTGCAAATTCCATCATCTTTCACCAATCATTCCTCCATTGTCGGTAAATGCAAAATCTTTCCATCTTTGTGCATATGATAACCTCACTGCCAAAATTTTTAGCCTATCTCATCATACTTTTTTTAAAAAAAATATTTTTTCTGTTTCAAATTTGAATAAAATTGTATTTATTTAGCAATTATGTGTTCATCATTTGTACACAAATGAGGAAATATATATACCCTTTCCCTTTAAGTTTAAATCTCTTTTTTTTAAAAAAGCATTACCTGAATTTTTCATACTAGAGCTGTTCAGTTTGGAATCTTTGATGACCAAGTGTTTAATCCAAAGTGTAGGGGCTGTAATTTCTGAAACATAAGGATAGGCTTATAATTTGTTAAAAAAATAGATCATTATTTATATTAAAAGTACCACGAGACCCAGGAGATGATCATAATAAAAAACAATGTACATTAAAAGCATATTAAACAAAATATCAATATAAGTAGGTAGGTATATAGGTAGGTAGGTAAGTAAGATAATCAGAGAGTAAAAAACTTTTTATTTTCAAATGCTTTGTGTGCAAAATTTCCCAAAATGTCCCATTTTCAAATGCAAACCTGCTGTTTCAAGTTTGAAGTGGGCAACCTTGAGAATGTCTGAAGAATTAGGAAATAGCTTGAGACAGGCATTTTGTATTCAAAATACAGACTTTGTAGGAGTTTTAGCAAAATTTAAAATAAAGAATATCATATAACCTGAATTTCTTTCCTAAAGTCAAAACTCCCATATTAATTTTCTTTTGCCATCATGTCACAAAATTATCTCACCATGATTCTGACTGATCCACAAAGAAATAATGTGCATAAAAAGCAATTATCTAAAAACACAGTTTGTCTTAAAATAGTATTTTGAATAATATATAGCCGTGCCTGACATTTTCTTTACAGAACATTACATTTTGGAGACTGCATAAATAAAAAAAACTACTTCAGAGGCTCTTACCTTCTCCATCCAAAACTGGTTGTGTTTCCATGGTGGGTGTTGGTTTTGAACCATCATCTGAATTGAGAGTTAAAAAAAATTGAAAAGAAACTACCATTATTGAGATAAATACTATCTACTCTCCAGTACTGTTGAATAATTTGGGATTTTTACATGGCCCAGCCAAGTCCATCAGAAGAAAATCAGACATACACACAGACAGAAAAAAGGACAAATCAGAACATAAAGGCAAAAAAAGAACTTTATGGAACTGGCTAAAAGGTTAGCAAAATACTGAAATACTTCTTTAATTCTGTTTTTTAAAGTAGATAATATTCCCACTTATACTTTTATCATCAACAACTTCTGTATTGCTGAAGTATGAAAATCATTCAGGTGCACTAAGTTTATTTCACATAAGTAAGCCCTTCCTATAGACCTCTTCTTCATAAAGATGTTACAAGATTTTGTGGGTATAGTGACCTCAAAATATATCATCTCTAAAAGTTTCTGGGAATGTCGGGACAGAGTCCGTTCACAAACTCACATAAACTCTCTGCACCAAAAAACTGGATTTATGGAGGCTTTCCCATCCCGATAAATAATGGACAGGACAAACTATTTGAGTACAAAATCCCAGCTCTCCCAAGTATTTTTTATTAGTTATGTTTGAAGATTCTTAATCTTTTAACCTTATCGGCATCAAATTTAGAATCAAGTTTTCAGAAAAGTTCAGAAAAACTTTGGTAATGACCATATTATTTCTAAAGTTTATAATGTAAATGAGTTGATACTAATGTAATTATAACAGAAGAGTATCTAAAACACATTGTACACCACCCAAAGTCTGAGGGAGATTAGCTGAGAAATAGGAAAAATAAATAAATAAATAAAACAAACAAACACATTATTGTTCCCTTTCTTTGTTCAGACATGTTTGTAATTCTAGCCTATATCAAAGAACATTTAAATTATATTAAAATTCACTACAGAATGAAGGAATTGCTTACATTAATCTTCGGTTTCTGCCCACAGATGCCTAGAAATAAAGCCATATTAGCTTCTTGTCTCACTTTACAAACATTGGGTCTAGACTGTGAGGTCTCCATTTTACAGATATAACAGCAGTGCAATATTGTTATTGTAGTGTTCCATTGCATGTACTTCAATAAACATGAAAGAGATACACTCCCCTTCCTCCTTCCTATGTATTTTATTAACTAAGAACATGGATGAATGAATGGATAGGTCCATCCATCCATCCATCCATCTCAACTGGCATTTTGGGATACTTGTTACAAGCAAATAAATAAATGCCTGGACACATATTAAATCCTTAAATACCAAAACCTCTATACAGTATAAAACCATAACAGAATCTTAATATGCAAGGCAGAATTTTCCTCAGTTTTTGATTGTTAGTAACTAATGTTGAGTTTTACAAACATTTTATTTTAAAAATATTGATTCAGTGCACCAATTACCCACAAAGAAATACTAAGAGCTGGGAGAAGGGAAGAGTTATATAACTATCGTAATAATATTTAAAAAAAAATACAGAAAAGGTGATAAAAATGTACATTACATGTTATAGTATTGCAGGATTTAATCAGGATGGGTTAAGATTTATACTTTTAAAAACTTATTTTATTTTGTTCAGTTTTCATAGCTGTGAATTTCACTTTTATTAGAATGTACATATATTGTCACATTCACATATCTGTGCACGTGCTTTTTTTTCCTCCTTGTTGATACTCAGGACCATGAATTGCAGTGGTAGGATTTAGCCGGTTCGCACCACTTTGGCAGAAGTGGTAGCTAATTTTTTGTTGCGCAGGCCCAGAATGGACTTCCAGAAGGGGCATCCACACAGGGAACTGGTTGTTCACATATTTGAATCCCACCACTGATGAATTGGAATTTTCCAAAAAGGTAGAGAAGCAAGGAGTCCTTGGTGCTCTCTGAGCATGGTTGTTTTCTTGCAGATGTTTCATTACTCAAATTAAGTAACATCATCCGTGCTAGGCTAACACTGTTGATGTTATTTAGTTTGGGTAATAATAGTCTGCAAGAAAACAACCAAGCTCAAAGAGCACCAAGAACCAAGAACCCCCTTCATTTCAATCCTGAACGAATATTCTCCTTTATTAATAAAGAAATAATACACCTTAAAGTCAATGCTCAGTCTAAAATGACAATTAGCAATGAGCCCAGAGTGAGACAATAGAAAGGAAAACTATAAAACAGAAAAACAAACACATCAATGTAACATTCAAAAGCAAAAGCAACTATTCTAAAGAAGAAGTTATTAAAAAGCAGCAATATGAACAGATAGCATGAAAGATATTTAGAAGGCCAGTGAATAAGGATTCCTTTCACATAAGGAGATATCACAAGAGATTGGTCTGTAATTTTCAATATAGAATTGTAGATGCCACAACTGTCTGCCCCAATCCTATCTCCCCTCTATTCAATCTGTCTCTGAATACCAGCAAGGAAACAGCCACTGTTAAATGCTGAGGATTTATGTCGGACACAAGATCCCATAATAGGTTGAAATAAATATTGGGGAACTACAGCTATGAAATTGGATGAAGTTGTGATTTAAGCCTTAGGAAAGGGGAAGAAATAAAAAGAACCAACTACATGAAACATGAAAATATGTTCACAGAAGCAGCAAGAAGACACTAACAACATCCTTCATGGTAGTCACTTTGTGGAAACGGCCAGAATGTTTTTTTCCCTAAAACTCTAATTTATGCCCAGAGGCCAAAAAAACATTACAAACTTGTCTGTTATTTAGAGGTTAAACTGGGATGCAGAGCACAATTATCAATCATCATTATTAATCAAAACACGATGAACACGACATCCAAAATTCTGAAATAAATTGTATCTGCTTCTTACAAACACTGTCAGTGAAAATTGAGGCAATGTGATGTAAGAACCATCCATCAAGCCAGAAAGCATTTCTAGAATACGTTAGCCCACTCTCCCTTTCTCTTGCCCTCCTCAGAGCTCCCTTGCAGAGGCACTGATATGAACAAAGTGAACTGGGAATATTCTTCATGCTTTAAAGGCTTTGTAATTCAGCATAGTGAGTATGTGTTTGCAACAGACAGCACAATTCTTTGGTGTGCAAGAAAGGCTGTCCCATGCACAGGCAGCTGGAAGTCCCTTCGACCCCTGATGACACAATTCAAAGCATCTTCTGTTTGGCTTTTTGATTTCTGATTGACATATTCACTGCTGGCTGGAGATAAATGCCATTGGAAGCACAATGTTGATCCGCTCCAACTATTCTGATGAAGGACTTTTTTCTTTTTTTGAATAATAAACAAAACAAAAATGGTGTGCTTAAGTGTCTGAATAGAGCTCAAAACAGAAAAGTAGCCTAGTGGCTTTAAAGAGGCTGGCAAGTCACTTGAAGAGTTAATTGTCTGGGTGTACAATGAGTTTATTCTGATCGCAGACAAAGCACTCTCTCTCTCTCTCTCTCTCTGACAGAAATTCTTTAAAAGGGATATGTCAAAAGGACCAATAGCTGCTGTTTTTCTTCTTACAAATGGCATCCTTTGGGCATTGCTTTGAAAATCTTGACTCCTAAAATCCTGGCTACAAGTGACATGGCACTGAAGTTTAATTGCCAAGCTTTACATTTGGCTTTAGACCAGGGGTTCCCATCCCCCAGTCCATGGACCAGTACCAGGCCACAGCATGCCAGCAACCAATCTGCACAAACAAGCAAAGCCCCACAAAATCACGCCCCCTCCAGTCTGTGGAAAAACCCCTCTCCACAGAATCAGTCCCTAAAAGGTTGGGAGCCTTTGCTTTAAACCATGCAGCAATTCGGCTAACAGTGTGATTAAAAATGATAATCGCATCTGACAGCCATACTTATCATGCATAGATATTGAAGGAAATTATTAGTATTTATTCCCAAATTACATAGGAATTATGTACAGATAGTCCTCAACTTACATCCATTCGTTTAATGATCATTCAAAGTTAAAATACTGAAAAAAGTGACCTCTGACCTGTTCCCACACTTCTGACTCTTGTAGGATCCCCACAGTTGCATGATCAAACTTTGGGCACTTGCAACTGGTATATATTTACGATGCTCGTAACATCCCAGGGTCCTGGAATTGCCATTTGCAATCTTCTCAGGGAGCGTCTGACAAGCAAAGCCGATGGGGGAAGCCAGGTTTGCTTAACGATCTCGTAATTCTCTTAATAACTATAGTGATTCTCATAGCAGCCATGGCAAAAAAAGGTTGCAAAATGGGGAACAACTCACTTAACAACTGCCTTGGGGGCTCAGTGGTGGTTGTACGTCAAGGACTACCTGTATCCAATTAACAGTTACAGAGATACTGTATGAAATCTACTATAATAGCACAGATTGTGTGTGTAACATTCCTTAATCCTCTGGCTTTTTTTACATTATGCTCTCCATTTGCTAATGCCTTCTATTAAAGGTTGCTCCATGTGAGACAAAGAATGGGTGAACCAATCAGTTATTTCTTTCAGTTTCCCATTTCTGTAAGCCAGTCTGTGTCAATTATCCAAATTCTTTATTTTCTCATTTGTACAGTGAGGCATTCCATCCCATTTAGCAATTTGAGATTTGAAACAAAGTTTCATACCAGCATTTGGAGCATTTTTCTCCAAATGCATGCAATTTTATTTGCAATTTTGCTAAAGCTGCAAACAAATTTAATGTCTTTTGCACTGTTTCGTGCACTTATGCATTCTTTACATATTTTCCTCGTAAAACGTGTTTTTTTATTTTTAGGTTTGCAAAGTACATTACAAAACGTGGACTATTTGCATATGTTAAGAATGAATAAATACATCCCTATGTGTTCTGGCCTCTCTAAACAAAAAGACATATTGGCAGCTAGAGCTAGATGTCTTTTGGTTTCTAGAGGCAAATACAATAGGCATAATTTTGCATAGTTTCTCTCTCCCCCCCCCAACCCCATCCCCAAGGGGGGGGACATGATAGCAGTGTTCCAATATCTCAGGGGCTGCAACAAAGAAGAGGAAGTCAAGCTATTTTCCAAAGTGCCTGA